AAATGCTGTGTGTCCTTCGACAACATAGTTGTGCCGCTGTTGCAGGATAAGTGCTCTGGGAATAGTGTAGTGAGTAATCTGTTCTGAATATGGACTAACTAGATCTGTTTACAGTATGTTATTATTCACTGTGTAAATTCCAAGAGCAATAAACAGGAGTTGTCATAGACTTATGCAGTCCATATCAGACACTCTTTAAATGGGATGCAGTGAATCACAAATGCTGCAGTTACTTTTATCGAAGGCTAGTCAAGTGTGTGCTGGTGAGCTACAGAAACATTAGATTAGCAGCAGCCAAGCAAAGATTTTGGGGCAAGGAGTTGTTTCTTTCTGCTTCTGTCCAAAGGTCAAGCCAATCAAAAGAAAAATAATTGGGATAGAAAGTGTCTTGATCATCAAAGACTGAATTTCTGAAACACTTTTTGAATGGCAAGTAGCAGAGGAAAAAAAGCCCTGATTTTTCAGGTGGATGTTGGTCAGTATATGAAAGGATTATGATTATATATGATTGTATGTATATAGTGATTATATAAAGTGATTGTTTATGGTGTGAGTTTGTCCAAGAGCAGAGAACTGAAATCAATAACTTTGAAGTCCTTGTGTACAATATGAGTTAATAGGGGTAGAATTAAAAGGTTTCTGTATGGTTCTGTCAAGACACTTAAAAGCACAAGTGCAGTTTGCTTGAGAATTATTGCCTTTTCATTTACTTTTGAAGCACTGGGTCTTTTAGCATAGCTCTGGTTGGCTATTAAAACATACTGTGGTCCAGGGAAATCATATAAAGTTCTGCCTTTACTATTAGAATTCATAAGATTTTCTTTAAGGGGATGTTGGATATAGAGATTTCTCTTCGATCACACTCTTAGGTAACATAGTATGTTTGTGCTGTTAAGGTAATTTAGCTCCTGATTCTGCCTAAAGCCATACAATGTACAAATTTCCAATCAGCTGGAACTGGAAACAAGCATAGGAAAAATACCTCATGTGACAGCAATTATAAAATAGTTAATGAAACAAGGAAATTAGTTCATTAAACCTAATCTTCACTCAAAGTACTTTGGATGTACTAGAAAAGAACTAATCTGTTGTAAACATAGGCATTTCCAAGCATCACTCAGTTTACATTTTCCTCCTGTATTTTCAACCCTCATGCCTGCCCTTCTCTATTGCTAGAGGCAGAACAGCTGGCCTTCTGACCTTTACTGTAATTTTATTTGAGTTAACAGACAGACCATACACAAAGAGTAGAGAGGTGTTTCCTTTTTGTCATTGTGAGTGTGCTGCTTTGTGGTAATAAAGTGAATGCTGCCAGTGCTGTGGATGTTACAGAGCCAGTACAATTTGTTCCATGATGAACCAGGCCATCCACATTGCTTAGATCTTCCAGGATGGGTGGCTGTAGCATAAACCTTTCCAAAGACCTCTCTTTTTTGGAATGTAGGACCAGAGCAGGCATGCTAAGCTGAGCTGTTTGTTGAGCCCTTATGGCAGAAGCCCTGCAGGAGGTACAGCTGTGGTGCTAGGCTGTGTGGTCTTAGTGCTGAGCTCACTCTGTAGTTGTTTTAGTCCATTCTTGTCTCTCTTCACCACTTGAGTCTTGCTTCAGTGTGCATTGGTTTGACTTTTAAAGTACATTATAGCCAAAGGAAAATCTCCTTCTAATAGGTAAGGCTATCAAGACATGTTTTGTGGGGGATTTGCCTCTGTCTTCTGCCTTAGTTTTTCTTGCCCCTAGTTCATGTGGTAGTGATTCTGTTGCTCAGGCTACAAAGCAGCCTTAAGCAGTCACATGAAGCAAGGGAAAATGACATGGGAGCAGGAAGAGGTAAGAAAGGATGGAGTTATTTCTCAATTGTGTCCTTGTTCCAGGACGTAGAGTTGTCTCAGTTACCTGACCTCTCTGAGCAACCTTCTGTGTAATGTTTAAATGATAAAAAGAGAATGACTGAAAATGAATTTAAGTGTTAGGAGAAAAAAGGATTTCTAGCCCATGCCTGAAGCATCAAGGCTCATCATAATTTACACAATAATAATAACACCACCCAGCAACTACAGTTTTTAGTGACTTCAAAGTATTCTGCAAGCATGTTTTTCTCAAGGCCACTTTTGCAAACTGTAGATCTACTTTAATTGTTACTAAATTGGATAGATAAGCAGCTGAAGAGGTAGGATTTGGGCTTTGACAACAGTTTTTAGAGTGAGAAGATGCAGAGATAGAAAATACTTGGCACATCTATCTTTACAGAGCTCCAAAAGTTAAACTGTAGCCCTTCTTTGATGATTCCATGCTGTACTTGTTTATCTCTCTTTAATTTTGAAGTATTAACAATTGTTCCGGGGACATGAATTTTTCTGGAACATGTAGCACTGTGCCAGCTCTGCTTAGAAATCTGTTGCAAGGTCTGAAGGTGTGTTCTGAAGCAATTACTGTCTGAAGTGTCATTTTGAATATTAGTAATTCGGGTATCTAAATGCCTTTTTAACAGTCACACAGGGTTCAGTTGATAGATGCTGGATCTTTGTCCCCAGTAGGACATTGTTTTAAGACTGGCTAATTCAGATGGCCTTCCGCTACCTCTTCCTGTGATCCCAGAACACAGGGAGCAAATGGTTTAGTGTTTGCAAATATTGACATAAATGCAAATAATTGACCTTGTGTTCCTAGTGTTCCATGGGTATATGCAAAGCTGAGAAAGTCCAAGATAACACTGGTGGACATGTTGCTGAATGCAAAATGCAGATCAGCACAGTGAGAGAAGACAGAGCAAAAGTTTGAGAACTGTAAAAGAGAGTTGTAGTTAGTTGGTGTTTTCTAAAATATTTGGATCCTATATGAGGGTATTGCCATTCTCTGAGCTTTTGTTTTGTCTTGTTTTATTTTTTCCAGATATATTCTTTAGAATTCTTTTTACTGATGAGACTGATGGGGCAACTTGGTTTTGAGACTTACATTGGGCTGGGAAAAGTTAATTTAAGACCTATGGAAAATATCCATGCCTAGACTGTGTAAAATTCCCCTAATTTTGGTTTTCCTAACAAGGGAAATTCAGTGCAACCTGAGGGAGAGACTGAAAAGATTCACAAGTTTTCAAGGCAAAGTCTGGACAGATGATTTTGCATCAGAACTGCATGCAAGTTGGAAAGTTTTAGCCTAAGTGCAGCCCATAGTGGGTTTTCACAAGGCATTTCTTGGCATACAAGTGGCATTTGTCCACCTATTCTGAGAAAAATATTTTCTAAAGCCAAACTCCAGACATGTGCTGAGCTTTTAAACTGCAAGCAGATACATTTCAGCCCTGCCTGAGCCTTTTCAGAAACTGAATGTATTATGGGGCAAGTCTTATCTGAGAACTTGACTAGAAGAAGGGGAGTTGTACAGAATTTTCTTGCAAGATCAGAGTGAAAAAATGCTACGTGAGCTAAGCAGGAGTGATAACTCTGACGCTCTGGTACTGATTATTCCCAAGCAAAAGGCTTTTGATCTTTATTTGCCTTATGTTACATATCTGCTTGTTTGATGTATTTCCTAGTATGGATATCATTCCTACCATTTATTTTTTTTAAATGTATAACTTCTATCTATTATTACTAAAGCAAAATTCTGATTTAAGTAAATTCTGTTAATTTTAAGTTCTTAAATTTTATTGAAGTGTAACATGTCATTATCTCCCAGTTTCCAAGAGATAAATATTATTAACTGGCGGAGTGATTGCAATTGCCATTTTGAGTTGACATGTCAATAGTAAAGTTTTACAATTTCTTAAGTCGAAAGAACCATTTGAAAAATATTTTAAAACCAAGATCTCTTCAAGTTATAGAGTCATATTAACTATAAATGATTGCTGGCTGGGATTTACCTTTTGCAGCATTTGCCCACAGATCCAAATTTGTGCTCTGTGTATTAATCTTCTCTAAGCATGTTTGACTTTAATGGACTTGTTTTCAATGATTATTCAGTAAATAGACATCTATAAATACAGAGCTTTTTGAGTAATAGCATGTCACACTGCTCACACTTTGTACATAACAAAATTTGATCATAAACTTGACATCAGCGGCACTCATGGTGTTTCCATGACTCTGCTTGCACAGTTTGTCTCTTTACTCTTTTGATTTAACCATCTGACCATTTGTATAAATAAAGCAAACACCTCACACTGTCAGAAACTGCTAGGTGGCTGAAACAGATTCAAAGTATTGATTATATTAAGCTTATAAAAAAGATTTCTGAATTTAAGCTCTCCAGAATTACTGGTTTGTTTGATTTGGTTTTTAAACCTGATGGATGTAAAGCCAGGATGTAATTTATTTGAAAGAGGCAGCAGAGCAAAATCTTTGAGGTTCAGAAAATTACCTTATTAGTCTGGTAATCAAATATATGATTCTCCAAAAAGAAGGTTTTCCACACAAAACTCAGCTCTACCAGTTTTATCTTTGCATATCATTTAATTAACTGAGAGAAGATTCAGTTGTCATTTGAAAAACTGTGTTTTACTTGGTTTTCATATTATACTATCATAGTTATTATCCACACTCACCTATCTGGGTAGTTTCATACATATGGCCATTCAATAAGGTCTCTACGTCTGAAACTTGAGAGTTCATGCTGCTTCAGTTGGAATTTATCCTTTTTAATACAATTATAGGTGGTATTACTTAAAACCCACTTTCATGATTTCTGTTAAGGTGTTACAGTACCTTCTGGCCTTAAACTTCACAGATTAAGTGTGTATAGGAAGAAAATCTCATCTACATGGCTTCCACTCACCAGAATAGAAATAATTCTACTTTTGTGATTTCTAGGTGGTTTTGTACAGCAGATTTCACAAGATTTCTCAACGTGGTGCTTCATTGCATCAATGACACTGTAGCCGTGTCAGTGTTTCTTAATAATAAATTATTTACTATTATATAGTACTATAATTAAAAGGGGCATTTATAAATATATCTGTTGATGTTGCTGCTTTATGTAATTCAGTGTATTTCTTCCTTTTTAGGCTGTGCTGAGTCCTCTTATAGCAATCGCACTGAAAATATCTCAGATTCATGAGAGGACAGGGCGAAAGGGACCCACTGTCATCACCTGAAGCCATGGAAGATTGTTAAACCAGGGCCAAAAAAGGAACAGCAAGGAAGAGACAGTACCTTGCTGAAACACGTTAGCCATTTGTGCCTTGTATGATTTAAAATGTTTTCTGGGGGATAGAGCTAGGGTGGGAATAAAAATTCGATATAATATTGAGCATATTCGTTTGCATTGCTCTCCAGATACAGTAGTGTATTGACTTGTTTTACCTGCAATATCTTAATTTCAAATAACATTATAACCAAAGAAAGAGGCCTTAAACTTCAAATGTTGTCAGCAATCTGACAGAAAAGGAAAACTGCTTGGTTTTGAATGCTGTGATAAAGGTTGGGGAAATTCCAGTTAGGGAGAGAGGGGGAAGAGTTGCAAAGCAAAGACATGCTGGTGAATATTTTTTGGGATCTTTGTCACCTTCTTGTTGGTTTATGAAGAGACATACAGAGCATGTCTGAGGCACAGGGACTGTATACTAAGCTTTGCAAGGGGTGTATTTTCTCACCTGGTGCCACTCCTCCTCTCCTGCCTCCCATTGCTCACAGATGCACGCTGGCAGCAGTGTTGTATACACACTTGCACATGCTCCCAAAGAAGGGGTCATCCCATATTGGTTTTACCCCTGCTTTTAAAGCATATCAATGTGACTTGTGCCTTTAGATTTTCCTGATTTTTTTGACTCTTTTTTTTTTTTTTTCCCTCCAAAGGGAAGCATTTGTGCTGTAGAAGCTGATTGTGTCCTTCCAGCAATATGTCGGGTGTGGAATCCTGCTGTCTTTTGCAGTATTCCTCATTACTGTCTTTGAAAGCTAATCACTGCAAGTTCAGCAATTTTTCATGAAGGAGTTACTATGGAAGTTTTTAAATCTTTAGAATACTCATGCTCCACTTACCACTTGTAATTGAAGCAGTGATCAGGAAATGAAACGCTAATGAATTAAATAGAAATACTTGTCTGATTCACCAGCTGGACACAATTTCTATTAGATTCTTTGTAACAGTGGATCATGAATAAAATATCAGGGAGTGCAAAGGGAGAAGAGACATCCTGGCATTAATCTGAGAAGGATACTGGGGATATGGACATCAGCATTTTTCTGCTCATGAAATGATACTGCAGTTCTAGCTACAATACTGTGCCCTGAAGAAAAACACAAACACTATATGCATGTGACTTCTTAGAAAGCTTTGTTTCCTTGGGAACAGTGTGGTCACGTGTATCACTTGTCAAGGTGGATTTGTGAAACTTGCTTCTTTGCAGTGTGTTTCAATTCATTGTGATTGTCAAATTTTAGTGCAATTTATATAATATTGCAGTAAAAGAAATTGTTTTGATTTCTTTCAACACTTCTGTCAAAAAATTGTTATGGCACTAAGTACACAATAAAGAATAATGCTGTATTTTTGTCTTAATACGTAATTGTGGACAAGACACACTGCACTTTTGAGCATCCTAATAAAATTGCCTTTAATACAATTACATTATCTACTTAATTGACTCTAAACAGCTGAGATACTAATGTTCTTATGTAGTATTCTACTGTATCATTAAGTTTTCTCATAAGCTAAAAGTGATTTTAAGGCTTTAGTTCTTTTTATTAAGGTTTTTGGGTGGGTTTTTTTGAGACAACTATGGCATTCTTACAGAGTTTGGACATCTGCTTTTGAAATGTTCATCTTTACAGAAACCTCGTTTATCTAATCCTTAATTTTCCTTATAAATCAAACTCCTCCAAGTGCAAAATAGTAAGCTAAAAACTAGTGTTCTTATATGATGAAGCATAGACATAGTCTGGATTATGACACTTAGTTTGAATTACTGGGCTGCATGAAAGAACATTCTGAAAGACATTCCAAGAACTTCTAAAATATCTTATATGTACTGAGAACGACAATGAAATAATTTTTTTTCACATGGTGAACTAACTAGTTATAAGTACCAAGTATCCCATTTACCAAGCTTCTGGGACTGGGATTGCATTTTGAAAAGTAAGATGTACTGAAGCCAGGTGTCTCTCTCGATGTGGTAGGAAGACTCACGAGAAACGAATCAGGACTGTGAAGATGCATAATAATGCTTTTATCAGAAAGTCACTAGACCACTAGTTGCAGTAGATGGCAAACTGCTTTCATGAAGGCAGTCTGTGAACAAAGGCTATGATTTAAAATCTCACTACTGACTTTATACTGGGCTTCAGAAACAAGGGGTTTGTGTGTGGTTTTGGACAGCTGTCAAACAGCAGATTTCAGAACTAGCCTAATCCCAAATCCACTCACTATCCCTTTTTTATGATCACAGGTGATCCTGATGAAAGTAACGACTGGTACTTTCCACCAGTTAATTGCTTTTCTCTTCAAGAGTCATAGAACTGTTTGGATTGGAAGGGACCTTACAAGATCATCTAGTCCAACCCCCCTGCCATGGGCAGGGACACCTTCCATTAGACCAGGTTGCTCAAAGCCCCGTCCAGCCTGGCCTTGAACACTGCCAGGGAGGGGGCAGCCACAGCTTCTCTGGGCAACCTGTGCCAGTCTCATCACCCTCACAGAAAATAATTTCTTCCTTAGAAATCATCTAAATCTACCCTCTTTCAGTTGAAAACTGTTACTCGTCCTTTCACTACACTCCCTGATAAAGAGTCCCTCCCCATCTTTTCTATAGGCCCCCTTTAAGTCCTGTAAGGCTGCTATATGGTCTCTCTGGAGCCTTCTCCTCTCTAGGGTGGACAATCTCAACTCTCATCCTGCCCTCACAGGGGAGGTGCTCCAGCCCCCTGATCATCTTTGTGACCCTTGAGCAGATCCATGTCCTTCTTATGTTGGGGGTCCCACAGGTGGACACAGTATTCCAGGTGGGATCTCCTGAGAATGGAATAGAGGGGCAGAATCACCTCCCTATACCTGCTGGCCACACTTCTCTTGATGCAGTCCAGGATACAGTTGGATTTCTGGGCTGCGAGCGCATATTGCTGGCTCACAGTCAGTTTTCCATCCACTAACAACCCTAAGTCCTTCTCTGCAGAGCTGCTTTCAATCCACTCATCATTACCCAGTCGGTGTTTGTTCTTGGGTTTGCCCTGACCCATGTGCAGGACCTTGCGCTTGGCCTTGTTGAACTTCATGAGGTTTACATGGGCCCACCTCTCGAGCCTGTCCAGGGCCCTCTGGATGGCACATCCCTTCCCAGCATGTCAACCGCACCACACAGCTTGGTGTCATCGGCAGATCTGCTGAAGGTGCACTCAGTGCTACTGTCCGTGTCACCAACAATGATGTTAAATAGCGCTGGCCCCACTGACCCCTGAGGAACGGCACTTGTCACTGCTCTCCAGCCAGACATCGAACCTTTCACCACAACTCTTTGAGTGAGACCATCTGGCCAATTCCTTATCCACTGAGTAGTCCATCCATCCAATTTAGAGACAAGGATGTCATGTGGGAAAGTGTCAAAGGCTTTGCACAAGTCCAGGTAGATGACATCTTCACTTATCCACCAATGCTGTAACCCCATCATAGAAGGCCACCCAATTTGTCAGACACAATTTGCCCATGTGCAAGTTTAAGCCCTGCCAGGACCGGAGAGCACATTGCTGTTGCCCCTCCCCCACCCGCAGCCGGTTGGGCTGGAAGTTGAGCACAGACCCCAGCTGAAATAACAAGAAATTTAATACAACAGAGTGATAGAACAATCTGAATAACAACAGCATCAGTGGTAACAACAATAAACAGCAATAACAGTGAACAAGACAAACGATATACAGAGAAATACCACTAGCTGGTTTACGGAAAGAAAGGTTCCCCCACCGAACCCGCCAAAGAGCAAGGAAAAGGTTCCGCCCCTGGACCTGACGTCAGCACGGTATGAATAACCCGGCTGGAGATCCCTTCCCCCTCTCTCTCTGCTGGGGAAAACTTGGCTCTATCCTAGCTGAACCAGGACAATACTGAAGCCATGCTGGCTGTCACCAATCACCTCCTTATTCCCCATGTGCCCTAGCATAGTTTCCAGGAGGATCTACTCCATGATCTTACCAGATACAGACGTGAGACTGACTGGCCTGTAGCTCCCTGGGCCTTCCTTTTTCCCCTTTTTAAAAAATAGGGGTTATGTTTCCTTTTTTCCAGTCTGAGGGAGCTTCTCCAGACTGCCACAGCTTCTCAAATATGATGGATAGTGGCTTAGCTACTTCATCTGTCCATTTCTTCAGAAACTGTGGGTGCATCTCATCAGGTCCCATGGACTTGTGCACCTTCAGGTTCCTTAGATGGTCTCAGACCTGACCATTTCCTACAGTGAGTGTTTTACATTCTCCCAGTCCCATTGCCTCTGCATGTTGGGCAGTGTGGCTGGAGCACTTCCTGGGGAAGACAGAGACAAAAAATTGAGTTACCTCAACTTTCTCCAGATCCTAGGTAATCAGGTCTCCAGTTCCCTTCCACAGAGGGCCTACATTTTTCTTCACCTTCCTTTTCTGGTTGCCCTTGATGTCCTTGGCCAGATTTAATTCTATCAGGGCTTTGGCCTTCTTAATCTGATTGCTGGCTGCTCAGACAATTTCTCTGTACTCGTCTCAGACTATCTATCCTTGTTTCCACTCTCTGTAGGCTTCCTTTCTGTGTCTGTGTTTGTCCAGGAGCTCCTTGTTCATCCCTGCAGGCCTCCTGGTGTTTTTACCTGACTTCCCCTTTGTCGGGATGCACTGCTCCTGAGCTTGGGGCAGGTGATCCCTGAATAATAACCTGTTTTCTTGGGCTGACTCCTCCCTCCAGGGCTTGATCCCATGTTACTCTACCTAGCAGATCCCTGAAGAGGTCAAAGCCTGCTCTCCTGAAGTCCAGGGTCGTGAGCTAGCTGTGTGCACCCTCCTCGCTCCCCTAAGGGTCTTGACCTCCACCATTTCATGGTCATGCAGCCAAGGCTGCCCTTGAGCTTCACATTTCCCTCCTTGTTGGTGAGAACAAGGTCCAGCATAGCACTTCTAGCTGGCTCCTCTGTCACTTGGAGAAGGAAGTTATCATCAGTGCATTCCGGGAACCTCCTGGATTCCTTATGCCCTGCTGTGCTGTCCCTCCAACAGATATTGGGGTGGTTGAAGTCCTCCATGAGGACCAAGACTTGTGAATGTGAGGCTGTTCCTATCTGTTGAAGAGGGCCTCATCTGCTCAGGCTTCCTGGTTGGGTGGCCTGTAGCAGACCCCCCACTACAACGTCTCTGTCCCTGCCCTCCCTTTAATCCTGACCCCCAAGCTCTCAGTTAGCTCCTCATCTATCCTCAAGCACAGCCCCATGCACTCCAGCTGGTAGAAGATGAATAGAACTTTGTAAGGCTGAAGTGTGGTGTATATCTTTATATATGTCTGATGTATTTAGGAAAGACTGTAGCCATAGTCTCATAAAGTTCTGTGTCCTGAGGACTTATTAACATGAGAGGTGATAGCAATATTTAGTGTAGTCTCATCGGGGAGCATCGGTGTGGCTTTTTACCACACAGGCTTCAAGCATCTGCCCCTCACCATCAAATGGTTTGAGATAAGTCATAAAATACCAGCAAATTCACCTACCAGCACAGCTAAATTACTACTACACCTTCCCCTGGGATAAGTTCCCTTCTGTAAGAGAGTTAGTGGCTGGATGAGAAGCACGTTGTGTTCAGAGACAATTTGGAAGGCAGTAGTACTCACCTGAACCATGGGATCACAGAAACCTTGAATTTGGAAGGAACCATCTAGTCCATGAGGACTAAAATCACCTTGTCCATCCCCCAGCTCCAAGCAGGGTCAGGTAGAGGAGGTTGCCCAGGACCATGTCCAGTTGGGTTTTGATTATCTCCAAGGGTGGAGACTTCAAAACCTCTCTGGGCAAACTCTTCAAGTATGACCACTCCCATAGTAAAAAAAAACCCACAACTTTCTTGAGTGTTCAGATGGAATTTCATGTGTTTCGGTTTGTGCCCATTGCCTGTTGTCCTGTCACTGGGAACACTGAGAAGACCTTGGCTCTGTCCTCACCTTTCTCCCCCATCAGGTACTTACAGAAATGAGTAAAATCCCTCCTAAGCCTTCTCTTCTCCAGGCTAAATACATCCAGGTCTCTCAGACTCTCATCATATGACAAATGCTCCAGTCCCTTGATCTTTGTGGCCCTTTGCTGGAGGTTCTCCAATATGTCCATGTCTCTTTTGTACTGGGGAGCCCAGACCTGGGCCCAGAACTCCAGATGCATCTCAGGAGTGCTGGGCAGAGGGGAACCATCACCTCCCTCCACCTGCTGGTGACGTTTTCCTAATGCAGCCCAGGATGCCATTGGCCATCTTTGCTATGCAGGTGAGTTGCTGGCAAGTGGTCAACTTCTCATTCGGGGCAAGTGCTTTCCAGCCGACTGGCCCCTGGATGTATTTATGCCCCAGGGGCAGAACTTTGCATGTCCCTTTGCTTCCTGAGGTTCCTATCAGACATTTTTCCATCTCATCCAGGTCCTCTGAATGACAGAAAAATCCTCTGGTGTGTCAGCTGCTCCTTCCTATATTGTAACTTCTGCAAAACTGCTGAGGGTGCACTCTGGCCCAACATTCAGATTGTTAAAGAAGGTGTTAAACAGTATTGGCTGCAGTATTGACCCCCAGGGCACACTGCTGGTAACTGGCCTCCAGCTGGACTTTGTGGCAGTGATCATAGCTCTCTGGGCCTGGCTGTTCAGCTACTTTTCAATCCACCTCACTGTCCACTTATCTAAACCATATTTTGTTCACTTGTCTATGAGGATCTTATGGGAGGTGGCATCACAAGCCTCATTAAAGTTGAGGCAAACACCATCAACTGCTCTCCCCTCATCCTCTGAGCCAGTCATCTCATTGTAGAATGTCATCAAGTTGGTTAAGCATCATTTCCCCTTCATAAATTCATGCTGACTCACCTTCTTGTCCTTCATGGGTTTGGCAAAGGTTTCCAGGATTAGTTGCTCCATAACTTCCCCAAGGACTGAGATAAGACTGATCAGCCTTAACTCCTCAGATCCTCCTTCTTCAGCTGAAGACAGGAGTGACATTTGCTCTCTTCCCGTCCTCAGGAACCCCTCCCAGTCACCACAGTCTGCCAAAGATAATGGGGGGTGGCCTTGCAATGGCATGGCCCAGTTTATTCAGCACCGTGCATGCATCCCAAGTCATCCCATCGGCTTGTGTATGTCCAGTTTGCTTAATTGCTTCCTAACCTGATCCTGCTCCACCCAGGATAAGTCTTCCTTGCTCTAGACTTTTCCTCTGGTCTCAAGGACCTGGGATTCCTGAAGGCTGGTTTTACTGGTAAAGATGTTGGCAGTGAAAGCATTGAGCACCTCAGCCTTTTCCATGTCTTCTTTCATCTAATGTATCTGTAGAAACTTTTCTTGTTGCCCTTCACATTCCTCACCAAATTCAACTCCAGAGGGGCTTTGGCTTTCCTAATCTCATCCTTGCATGATTGGACAGTGTCTCTATATTCCTCCTGGGTCACCTATTCCTGCTTCCACTTATCATAAACTTCCTGTTCATATCTGAGTTTAGTCAGGAGCTCCTTGGTCATCCATGCAGGCCTCTGCTGCCTTTGTTTGATTTCTGTATGTCAGGATGAGCCATTCCTGAGCTTGCAGGATGTGATCCTTGAAAATCAAACAGCTGTCCTGGACTCATCTTCTCTTCAAGGCCATAACCCATGGGGTTCTTCCAAGTAGATGTCTGAAGAGATTAGTCTGCTCTGCTAACTTGGGTGTCACTTTTTGCCCTTATCCCTCCTCTCAAGAATCTGAACTCCACCATATCATCATCACCGCAATGAAGGCCTTCACATGCCTACTCATTTCTTCTGTTATTGAAGATACCAGGACAGCCACACACCTTGTTGGCTCCTCAACCACCTGTGTCAGGAAGTTGTTGTCAATGCACTGAAAGAACCTGTTCTGTTCTGAAGCCTTAGTTTGACCTATTCATATCCTCCAGTCTGAAGAAAATTCCCTTTAATCTAAAACTTCCTGCTACTATTCTTGGCTAAGATGTCTTCACACTAGTAAGTTTGATCAAAAGCAAACCATTTAAAAGCTTTTACTTCTTTAAGATTGCTGAAATTTTTGAGCTAATTGCCCACAACATTTTCCACTAAGCTCATAGCCAAGTAGTTCACTAGCTGAAAAGACAAACTGAAAAACAGATTGTATCAAATAAAATGTCAGTTATTAACCTTAATTTTCTCCTTATTTCAATAACTTTCACATCTCAAATACATTTTTCCATATTGCAAGTTGAAGATGCAGTTGTCTTCAGTTTCACATTTCTGGATCCATTGAGACCTCAAAACACCTGCAGAAGGCTGGAGCTAAAAAGGGAGCTACAGAGCTGCTGTGGGGTTGGGGGAAATGCAGAAAGGATTGTCCATAATCCTTTCTAATGGCCCATAGACTATGTGGAAAGAATGTCATTTCATATAGCAAACTGGTCCAAGAGCAACCTTCAGTAGTACTTCTGCAATACTTGTTCTCAGAGCTACCTGTAGTCTCAGTCATTTCCCACTCATGTGGTCTTGCCTTAAAAGTTTTCTGGTGGAAAAGTTAAATTTCCACAGGAAAAAAAAAAAAAAGAAAAAAGAAAAAAAAAGTTCAATTTGCACAGGGCAAGCATTTTGCCATGGGACATCTCACTGGTTAATCAGCTTCATCTGATGTGATTGATCCCTGCATCAATTTTTGTGCAATGCAAACAGCCTTCAGGATCTGGTGCCCAGGAGTAAATAAGCAGGGGATTTCAGGGTGTGGGTATGGTAGTGCTAGGAGGTAAGACCATAACAAGGTCACCTGGTAAAGGAGATCCTCACTTTAGCTGTTTTGGAAATAATGTGTAATGTTCCTCTGACTTTTACTGTTCTCCTCTGTGCTGTGCTACTTCTCAGTCACTTTGTAAAATCTTCATATTCTGGTGGCATCTTCTATCAGCTTCTGTGTTTTTTAGGGAGACTCTTCTTTAGCCTGTGATGGTTTTAATACATTAGTCTTCTTCAACTTGTCTTGAATTGATTTTTGTTTTCATGTAGTTTCTCCACCCCATTTTATCCTGCTTTCCTTACTCATTACATCAACTGAAGGTTTATAGGTCCTTCCTACTAAAGGCTGAAATTCTTTGTGAGAAAATAGTAATGTGATTATCACTTCCTTGGCTTTAGCCATTGTTACCATAACCATCATGGCTTGCATTTCTAATGTATATGCAGCCATAATGCTAAAGTTGTTGTCCTGGGGCATGTGTGCATTTGGAAAGTGTGATAACATTTCTGTCTTGATGGTTTGGCAACAAAAACTGGAACAGTTTGCCCAAAGAGTTGGTAGATGCCCCAATCCTAGAGACATTCAAGACCAGGTTGGACAAGGCTCTGAGCAACCTGAAATAGCTGAAGATGTGCCTGCTCATTGCAGGTGGGTTGGACTAGATGACTTTTAACGGTCCCTTCCAACCCAAACTATTCAATGATTCTGTGAAAAACCAAAACTCCATCTATAATCTGTTTTTGCGGGTCCAAATCTAAGTGAACCTCCATGTAATTTTTTCTTGTAATCTGTAATTGTAGATGGCAGTGGCCTGGATGAAAGTTTTGCTGCAGTGATTTTGTGGAAGGAAGAAAATATGTAACAGAGAAAGGATGAGTCCAGGCCTGTCCTCTTTCTGGTACTTGTTCCCTAACCATGAGGCCACTTGTATCAGAAACAGGACACAGGACCCATTTTTTAGTTCCCACAGTCTCAAGAAAGCTGCAGTGGAAGCAACTGCTTTTACACACAGCTCAAAAGAGTCAGAGAAGGTTTTTCCTCCTACAATTGCTAGTTCCCTCTGAGGAGCTGTGAGCATAACCAGGCTTTGTCTGTTTAGCAGCTAGGAAGTGTATTGAGTGTAATGTATTGTATGCTTATGCTAAACCATGGGCAGTTTGTATCCTATAAGCAAATAGAAGGCATTTGTTTTAAATACAAAATTTATTCATTAATTCACCAGTAAAATATGACCCATTAGGACCCCAAAATAAAACAAGTCTCTCGAAAGGTATATGATACAAAAATAATCAATTACAGCAAATAACTTACAAACTCCCAGCAAAGGCTGAGTTAATAGGTTTCCAGTCAACTAGTATTACAAAACCACTTTCAGATGAAACTCCTTATGAGTCACAAGATGCTTAAGATTGATAACAGCATGATACTTAATTTATCTTGCAGCATAAGAAACTCCTATTGCCAGAGATGTTGCCTTTTATAATACACAGCCTGATTATTTCTATCTCTATGGAGATTCATTCTGTTTTGAAATACTGCGCACCTTCATATATATCCCCTCCAACTCCACTCAAACACATAAATGGCCAGTGCTTCTCCTGGGCAGTTTCACCCCAAGTGGTGTACTCTTAAGGGTCACTGACAAATGTCTTCTTCCACTTTTCCCTGCTTCACAAATGCAGGATTCTACCCACTGCTTATCTCAGATGTTCTGGCAGGAGCTGCTCCTTCTGGGGTCCCCTGGCAGTCTGTATCTTGTTTGTTATTCTTTTCTTGTATGGATGGAGGAGAATTCAACTCCGCTCCAGGGTCTGAGTCTTGGTCAGCTGTTTGCTGCTGCTGTAGCTGCCACTCAGGTAATTCATATGGTGGTGGCTGTTCCTGCTGGCTAGTTTCACTGATGAACTCTGCACTGCTTTTGCTATAGGGTGGCAGGGGGATATTGATGAATTCTTGCTGTTTTAGTGTGTAAGCAACTGGTAGTGGGGAGTTCTGTTTTTCAGGATCTGTGCTGTCTTCATAGGAGGGGGGATAGAAGTCAGGCCTGAAAAAAAACAAACCAAAAAGACACACATCATGACAAAATGTGATTTATCCCAGAGTGTGGTTAGATTCTTTGACTGTCATGTTTCCAAAGTTTAGATGAGACTTAAACTCTAAATGGAAAACCAAGTAGGTCTAGATCAATGAACTATATTAATATAAAACAACTGGCATAGCTGGGATCATTACCTGTGTCTTTCTGCAAAATATTTTATTAAAACACAGCTTTCTAAAAAGATGAGCTTTCCCACCCACAGCATACAAACACTCATGCTTGTGAGTATTTCTATGAGTGCCCAAGAAAAGTTTGATTTGGAAGAAGAAAGAGATCACTGTCCGAAGTAGGTTAGTGAGTTATATATTAATATGATATTGTTTTCTCAGTTTTAAAATACATTTTGCATGTTTCTGCTTATCTATCTAACCAGAATTTGCTGAATGTTGTTTTTATAGTGCTTTTAGAGCACACATGGTTGTTGTTTCTTGTGTGGTTTCCACAACAGTCTGGGAAAAGTAATCTGTATCCAGTGATCCTGTTAAAGACTTTTGTCAGGCCTAGTGCCAATCGGTTTAAGAAACTCTCTCTCTCTCTCTGAAAGTGTCAGACTTTGCTTAGAAATAGCGGGGACAATTACACAAGAAAACTTTAGCAGGGACCATATCAGGAGGTAAAGCTCTCTGCATACCTCGCTGGTAACAAGTAATATGAGCACATATCCCCCAGCAAATATCTGGAATATTCTGTTGAGACAGAACTAATGATGCTGCTCCAGGAGCTCCATGAAGTTGGTGTAGTTGCACCTGCTCCCTCCATGCATGGCTTTGGACTACTCTGTGCAGCCTGCCATATTTCCTGTATATCTTACCTTGCATATTTTTTTGCTTAAATTGCTGTTTGCACTTTCCTGCTTGCTCTAGTAAATCAAATTTCCGACTACAGTTCTCTACACAGAAGTATAATAAAATGGCTTCATATTTTTTGATTTGTAAAAACCTTGTATGGCTTCTTTCTTCTCACAGTATGTTTACAGAACAGCATCCCTCCCTCCCAATTCATTGGCAGCAGTCTGCCACACGTACCTGTCTACGGTGCTGACACGTAGCTCTCTACATCTGGGATCTTGAATGAGGATGCTGCTGAGGCTCCTGTATTTCAAGGCTTCATGGAAAGTGCTCCAGAAAATGCCAGTAATAAGGAGAAAGAACCCCAGGGCTAACAGGCAATAAAACACCAGCTTGTTATTTCCACATTTGCATGTGGGGGAACTTGTGAAAATGCAAAGGACTCCCAAACAAATAGTGGAGAAACCAAGTAAGAGCACAAAAAGGCGAATGAAGGTAAAAACACCTTTTAGCATCTTTCCCTGCAGACACAGCACTTGGTTCCTGTCTGCTCTTTGCTTGCTGTCTCAGCTGTGCTTCTCATCTTCATGCATTGGTATTTTATACACTCGAGGATCAATTGACCTTTGAACAATTAAGAGAAGCAGGCAGCTTTAAGATACTCATTAACTCTTCAAGATACTCGTAATATCTTCTGAGATTAATTTATAAACTTAAACCTACTTTATGGAAGGAAACGAAAACTTTCTGCACCATTCCTTTGCCACTGTAATCTCTGGATTTCAGATACTGAACTTTTGCATTTGTTGTATGCTACAGTTTACAATGGTTTACGTACTTCGCTAATTTATGCATGAGACTATATTTGTTTGTCTTTAAAAAGACCCTAACAAAGAACAAACACACTGTTCATACCCCCCTGTTAAAAGTTTGAAGGAAAAATATCCTTCTTTCTTTATCACACATTTTCTTCTTTGTATTTTGGTCTCCCTGTGTCTTTAACATATTATTCAACTACCTTGACATTTTTAATGGTCCTTTTAATTTCATTTCATTATTTAATTTAATTTAATTTAATTTAATTTAATTTAATTTCATTTCATTTCATTTCATTTCCTTTCATATTAAATTCACTTAATATATTAAACTAATCAAGATTGTATAATGTTAAAAAAAGGCGTAGGCATACAAGAAATCTCCTTTGCAGGTTCAGTTGTACTCTGATTCCTTTACTGTTATTTGCTTTCTCTTCCAGTAATTTTTACTGACTGATTTTCAAAAGGGTCAGTGCTTAATGCTATGCAGGAACACTTATACTTGGTTTTCCAGATATAATTAGATGTTGGGATTCAAGACGACTTTCTGCGAGAGAATGGCCATGTGAGCAATCCTGCACGAGAACAAGACTGGTCAGAGCCTCAGCCTGAGCAAGAATGCGATAAGGATGTGACCCTGAATGGGGGGGGGGAGAAACGATGAGACAAACAACCCCCAGAAGGGGTTGGGATGGAAGAGGAAGCTACACAAGGCAGGAAGCCTGGCAAGGCTGATGTGGCACTTTTTATCCCATCGTAAGAAGGTTTAAAGCGCGGGCTAAGTGAACTGTCCAATCTTGAGGACTTGTACTGCATGTTACTCACGTGTGCGGGAGAACATTATAAAAGGGCTTTCTTAGTTGTAATAAATGGGCATTGCTTGATCACATTGGTCGTGTGCGTGCTCAGCTCTCCCGCAATTAGACATCTGAAATTGAGAAATACTTGCTACCAACAAATTTTAGGCCTAAATATTGTTACATCCAATGCAAAACATAGAATTAGCCTATGGATTTTCTCTCAGAGAGTATACCCACTAGTTTTCTCCAGGGCGTAGCAAACTCCATAATCAGAACAAAAAAAATCTACCTTATTTGGAACATTACTAATTATGTTTCTGAATATTTTTGACAATAGAGTAATTAAACAGACCTTGCCTAGGTGTGTTGTAAAATCTCCATTGCCCACAATGAGCAATTCAGAACAAGGGACTATTCAAAAAATAGGCTCAAGATCAAATCTTCATTGCAGTAATGAGTTCATTGCAAGAATTGTTGGGAGATATTCAGTGAGGTATGTTATGTATGGGTAGGAATCATGAAAATTTTCTGCCATGGTGTATAAGAAGGTTTTTTTCAAGCTACTGTGGACTCTATTTCATTGCAGTCTGGGGAAGCTGTAGGACTTCTGTAGTCAATGCCATAAAACTTTCAAATATACTTCTTGGGTCTAGATGCTGTGGGTCATATATACATAAAAGAGGGAATCAGATTTTTTGGCATGAAGAAGGCGCCAGGTCTTTCTACTGTGGACATTCCCTGCAGCTCTGAAGGGGAAGCTCTTGACAGGCACTTTCAATAGGATGCTTGAGCCTTGTATCTTCAACTTAGATGAGACAGTTTTGATTTTGACTGGTCGGGTGCCCTGAAAGTACTGGGTGTCCTGTTTTACCTTGTCCTGGGCTGTACCTGTGTGAGCTGCACCACATTATATCTCACAGAAGCTTTACAGTAGCTTATACAGTGTTTCATGTTTGCTCAATCAGCACTGTATTTTTCTGCCCTGTGTTTATTCAAATGTGGTGGATGTTCATTTACAACAAATCAGAGTATTTATAAGGAAACAGCTGGTGGTACAAAGCTGCCAGATATTCTGATCAGGTATAGTTATTTCAAGCTCCTACCCCCATTACTGATTCTTCAATTCTCAAAGGGTCTTCAAAGTCCTTCTCACTTTTGCTTTCAGAATGTTAACATCAAGAACAAATTTTGTAAAACAATACAAGCATTAGACAGAATTTTTCTAAGGTGGGTCACTCTTATGTCATAGGAAAAGTGAAAACGCTGCAAGATAGCTTCTGTCCTTCCTAAGGAAGGCATTTGGGTAAGGAGTGATTTGAAGTAATCTTCGTTTCAGAGCAAACCCCTGCCAAACTTGAAATAGTCCTATTCTCTCAGCCCTTGGCTACAGCCATCTACACAGCACCAAGGAAGCATGGCACCACTTCACGTACAGCTAAGAGCATGAGTGAGCGCCAGCTAATCTGTGGCTGATATGATAAACCAGGCGCTATGAGTTGAGTGCTTCCCACTCTGCAAGGCTTTCAAAATTCCTTCAGGTCATATTTCCTGTAAGATACCTTATCCTTTACCAAAAGTCAGTTAGTTATTTATTCTGATCTCAGCATTTGAAACTCACATTCACATGTAGTTTTCTTTACCATATTTACCTTGTTCAATTATGACAAGAAGGAAATCACCTTACCAGGCTGTTTTATGATTTGCTGGCATGAGGACATCACAGTCTGTTGTCTCAGTATCATTACAATAGCAATTCACAAACATATTTAAATACATCAGATCTCCAGATGCCTTGAATGCACAAAATTGTTGCACACTTTCCACTTAGATGTCTTGAACCCTTGATTGCATCCTGTACAATGGCAAATCTCTCCTCCTTATATATGTGAAGTAGCTGGGGAGGCAGGTAATAATTATGTGCTGATCTCTGTGGTTTGGGCTACCTCCTCACAGAAAACTTGCTAATAGTTTTGGGAAATACATTGCTTTTCCTGATCATGGCTGACTAAGAATTAAAATTTATCATCAAAGTTTCCCTTGTGAGTTTGTGGCTTGTTCAGTACCATTGCTACACTTTTCCAGTCATGCAGTCCAGCTAGGGAGGTGGCTAGAATATTTTGGATAATAGTAGCAACCTTAACCAAATGCAAACTAATTTTCTTATCCTTATGATAAGAAAAAAAAATCCTCTATATGTTCCTCTGAAACTTACATGTGCATATTCTGTAATGAGCTACAAAAATTTTATCTTTATGACGTGGAATTTTACAGTCAATCTTGCTCACGGTGAGCTCTCCAGTACTGTTTCCTTTAGACAAATGGGAGTGCATGTTGTGTGTGGTACTCTTTAATGGGTTTTTGTTTTCTTAATGAAGGCTCCTTATAGAGATGAATTCTACTAGTGTCATCCAGCAGTAAAGGCATGACTTCATGTGATGCCTATACTGCTCTAAAACTGGCTGCAAGTGTGACAAATTAATTTTCCATGTGCTCTCAGTTCACATGCCTGCACTGCAGGCAGGCTGTGGGCTGATTTCATGGGGATGCCTACCAGCCATTAACCCTCCATGGTGTGAGCTTGCACATTTGCTGGAAGGTGTGTTCCAGCAGCCCTTGAGGATGAGCCAGGATGGACTAATGGAGTACGTATATTAGATCCATATCTATACACGTGCATACATACCAACATTGACATGGGAAGGATCCCTTCCTTTAAAGAGCTGGTCCACTGCAGAAGGCATGAAGTGGGGCAAATTCATGCTATCCTGAGATGCCACTTAGCACCTGTGCAGGTGCAGGTTTGTCCTGGGAAGGGATTCCCAGGGGACTGGGGAATCACAGAAAACTGTTAGTTTAGCCATTAGTTGTGAAAAATTCAGGTCTTTAAAGGAGGTGGTCCAGTTACGGCAGAAGAAAGCAGGGACCAAGAGGGGTAAGCCGTGTAATGGGGCTGTGAGTTTGTGCAGGGAAGATGAGAGTGGAGGCTGGGGGGCACAAGAGGCAGGTGGGGCACAGCAGGACCCCTCAAAGCTATGGCAGAGTTGGTGTTGCTGGGTGCCCCACTCACCAGCAACAGCTGCTCTTCCAGAAAAGTGTAAGCACATGACAGAAACACAGTTAAAAAAACTGTTTAAAGAGTCATGTAATTTACATCTGTCTTGTCTAGTATGAAGTCCACCAGGTCATCTCCCTGCTAGTGCAGGACTGTCTCCAAGAGCACCTTTGCTTCATGCTTCACTGTTTCAAATATTCATGAATGCTCTTTCTGCAATTTGTTTTCTCCATAGGCTAACAGATCCAGCTGAATTAATTGTAACATTTTTTCCTATATAACTTGCACTTTCTCCCTACCTGTTAAATATGCTTTATCTTAAAAAAACAATTTTTATTCTGAATTTCTGATGTTTCAGATCTTTCAGCCTATCCACATACATAAATAGAAATACTGAATTATTCATGCAATCTAAAGTTCAACTAATCACATCTTCTGTAGTCCTTGTCCTTCTGCTACCACACAATACTTACTGAAGTAATTTTGTTGATGGCAACTTTTACTTCCTGTTTTCTATTTATTGATCTGTACTCATTGATCTGGATGTTTTATAGCTTAAACATGACAACATCATATTTGTGATGATGCAGGCTGAGTTAATTGCTACAGAAAAAGCTGGACAAGAAATTATATTCCAGCTATGAGAAAAAAATTAAGAATTCAGATACATTCCCTTTATATGGTGTGAAAAGAGATATAAAGAGATATTCTGAAAAATCTTTAATGAAGAACTTACAAAGATTAAATAATCTTTATAACTGCCAGAAGAATCAAAAGCCAGTGACTAGTCTACACATCACATGGGGAGAAGAACTGGTTTGCATGATAAACTTCAGCCTCAGAAAAAT